AGTGATCCTTAAAGCGGGTATCAGGCAGGCCTCTCCTGCTCTAACTCTCCTGTGGCTCTTCCTCACTCAGAGCACAGTCCCGCCCTCTTCCATCCTCCAGGCCCAGGAGGTCTGGCCTTGTCTTTATCTCATCTCCATTACTCTCTGCTCCATTCCCACACTGGCCTCCTCCCTCTTAAACCAGACACACTCCTGTCCCCAGGCCATTCCCACTGGAGGTGCCACTGCTGGAAAGGACTTCCTTCCAACATCCTCAGGGATAATTCCTCATGTCCTTCAAAGCTTTCCTCAAGCCACCTTCCCAGGGAGGCCCCCACTGACTGGCCACCCAAATCAAACAGACACGCCCTAGGTAGTTTAGCTCAGTGGATAGAGCATCGGCCTGTGGACTTAAGAGTCCCGGGTTGGATTCTGGTCAAGGGCACATGCCTGGGTTGCGGGCTCGATCCCCAGCAGGGTACATGCAGGAGCCAAGAGTAGGATGATTCTCTCCCATCATTGATGTTTCTCTCTCTCTCTCTCCCTCTCCCTTTCTCTCTGAAATTAATAATCCTATATAATAAAAGAGAAACATGCAAATTATCCATCCCTCTGCTATGCTCACCAGCCAATCAGAGTGAATATACAAATTAACTGGACAAAGATGGCAGGTGAGCAGCACGCACCAGCATTCCGCCCCGCCCAGGCTGCTCCGGGGAGAGCCTCTGTGCAGGGTTGGTGGGCCGGCGGTGGGCAGCCTGTACTCCCCACATGGCTGTGGCGGCAGCCGTGAGTAAGCCAAGTGGACCCTGGGGGCTGAGCTGAAGTAGCACCTGCAGGCCATCAGCGCCAAGGAGTGGCCGTGCAAGTCCTGCCTCCTGGCCCAGAAGGTGCATGATGGATCGCAGGGATAGCCAGCCTGACAGGCTAGATTGATGTCCTCCTGGCCGCACCACAGGGGTTTGCAGATCTGCAAAGCCACAGTCGTCTGGTGCACACATCCTCTCTGTGCCCCCCTGTTGTGTGAACATCCCCCAGCACGCTGTCACCCTTGCACACCTGCAACAGTCCCAGACCAAGGCGTGCACAAGTTACCCCCACACATCCGCTGCACTTCCATCAAACCCAGCATGCCTAAGTCCCCCACAGGATGTGCACACATCCCCTTCGGCATGCTCATGTCCTTTGGAGAGTGTCTGGGTATTCTGGGTGCTGAGGGTGGGCGCCTGTGAGATGACAGTGAGCGGGCGGAGAGGTGATGCCCTGTTCCCTTGGAGGCCAGTGCAGTGACAAGATCACCTCCATGGGGCTAATGCAGGTGCTGAGGCGGGAGCAGGTGCAGACAGACACACTTGGTGGTTGCGGGCGGCCCTCGCTGAGGTGCCTTTGTTCAGAGTTCAAGATAAGGGACCCAGAGGAGGCGAGGAGTTCCATTCTCTCACTGAAATGGTGGGATAGTTGGGGCGACTGCAGAGGAAGAATGTGCACTTTGGGTGCCAGCACCCATGAGTGAAGGCTGCCCTGACTGAGCCTTACTCATGTGGGTCCTAGCGCACTCCTGCAGGGCAGCAGGTGACCAGACATGCTTTTCCGAGTTAATGAGAAAAAACACTGATTCTCCCACTGCCCGTGAAGGTGGAAAGTGAAGTGTTGAAACATGCGGGGAGTGAGCAAGGTTCCCTGTCTGGGGGTTCCAAATCCGCTGTTAGTTCCTTTCACCAATGACTAGAGATATAGAGGGTGTCCCCCCAAAATGTATACACAATTTAAACATCTACTAATTCCAATGGGTTTAAGCATGAGAAGAAACAACAATGGAGCTTCATCTGTTAAAGTGCGGGCACAAACAGGCAGTCAGACATTCCCCGAGGGGGCCCGGATTGGAGAGGGTGCAGGCCAGACTGAGGGTCCCCTTTCCGCCCCACCCCAGTGCACGAATTTTGTGCACCGGGCTACTAATATATATAAAACAAACAAAAAACACCCATGTTCCATGTCCCCCACAGCCACACTTGGGATTGCCTTCCCCATGGCATTTTTTCCCAGAACAGTTACCCCTTGTCACACAGACGCCTTCCATGTTTACTGTGCTTTTTCATTTACTCTGTTTCTTCCCACACAACGTATGTCCCATCGGAAAGCAGCTTTTCTGATTTTCCTTCAATGTTCCTCACATGCAGAAACACTGTCACACATCTGGCACACAACTAATATTGGTTTATGAATGGCCAGTATAGAGCACCTCCCTATGCTAGAGACACGTCTTCATTAACGTGACCTCAGACCACAGCTGTCCTGTGGCAGCTACAGCACAGAGAGCTCTTACATTGACATCAGGGCACCTGCTCTTCCCACAGAGCAGCTCTCCCTGAATCTACAGGAGACTCTGCTTCAGAAATCCCAGGGTTCCCACTGCAGCCAGCGCTAGAGGGAAGGGCAGGGAGACAGGGTGGGCAAGCAGAGCAAAATTCCAACAGGAGCTTAACTAAGATGACCAATTACAGGACCCCCTCCTCCCTGCTAATTCCAGGACCTGGTTCCTTGGAGAGTTTAGGAAAAGATGGAAAGAACAATCAATTCCTAGAAGGAGCCAAGAGCAGGATGAGACTGAAAATTCATCTCTCCATACCACGGACTCTAGTGTGCAGGGACCCCTGAGCCTTGTGGGCACAATGACAGACAACTCACCTCTGCTGATGCTGTATAAGGGACACTCTAAAGAAAGATGAGACCAAAACTTAAAACAAGAATGGAAACAGGCACAATCCTCTACACAAACAAACAACAAATGCAGTCCCAGAGGCTGAGGGCAGGACCCAGGCCTGAGCCTAGGCTGACCCGGACACAGGAAGGCCTTGCTGCCCACGGGTTTGGAGATGTTCCTCATTAGGACAATTTACAAGGCCTGGGGAGGTTTGAGTCCCTGTGATGGAAAGTCCTGGTGGGACAAGGTTCTACTGAAGTGAGAAGGACAAAGGAGCAGAGAGGTGACCCAGCTGGAGACACCAGAGAACCAACTGGGCACAGCCCTGACCACACTCGGTCCTCACAGCCTCTCCTGTCCCCCCTGCAGCAGCCTCAGCACAGCAAACACACAGGACCTGACAAGTTCTCAGTGCTTCCCTTTATTTCCTCTCAAATTTAGGATCTTCTCCTTTAATTTATTTTTCAAAATATGTTTTTATTGATTTTCAGAGAGAGAGGAAAGAAGAGGGAGAGACGGACTGAAACATCAATGATGAGAGAGAATTATCCATTGGCTGTCCCTTGCATGACGCTGGTGGGAACTGAGTTGAAATCTGGGCATTTGCCCTGAAAGGGAATCCAGCCATGACCTCTTGGTTCCTGGGTGGACACTCAACCACTGAGGCACACCAGCCGGGCTGTTCTCCTTTAAGGAACCATTCACCCCTTCATAGCAAGAAGTGAAAAAGAATGCATATCCAGACTCTTATTTCAATCAGGCAGTAAGAAGCTGCAGCTGAGCGCACCAGGCAGTAAAAACAGGAATGGGGAGGGCTAGCCCCACCTCTACTGGACAGGAAAGGCTGGAGAGGGGGTGTGGTGGACAGGGGTGGGCCATCCTCCCACCTCCTCACGTTATGCTGATAGGAACACACACATTCAAATGCCCTTTGCAGAAAGAAATCAGAGGTTCTTTTTTTTTTTTTTTTTTCGCCTTGTCTGGGTTTAATTGTTTGTGGAATGTCTGACTGAGAAGGGATTTGCGGATACTCAGCTGTGCAGAGAGGACAGCGGGAAAGCATGGATGGTGGCATGATTTCCATTAAATAAATGCTACACACAGCGGCCCGCAAGGCGGGGAGGGGCGGCCCTGCCCGGGACCCCGCAGGGCGTGGGGGTGCCCTCCTCCCCATGGAGGCGCGGAATGGGGTGTCAGTGGTCATGATCAGAAGGGTTTCGTCCTAGAGCACCGCCCTGCGCTACCATGATCTGGCCGGGCGGGGACGTTGGAAATTCTGGAAGGTTAATGGTCCATAACTGTGAGGGGCCTCTGCGGCCCTGGGGTCCCGTGTCCGGGCAGGCGGGGCGCCTAGATGACCTTCTTCAGACCAGCACAAAGGCCCCACCCATGCCCCTCAGACGTTGGACCAGGCGCCCTTGAAGAAGGCCTTGCCGCCCTCGTCCTTGAAGATCTTCTGCCAGCCGTCCATGGTGCCCGTGTACATGATGTCGGCTCCTTTGCACCCCGACTGCATCATCATCCAAAGGGGTAGGACACCAGGCCTGCCAGGGCCATCACCCACTGGGCGATCATCAGCTGATGAAGATGTGCGTGTTCTTGGGCTCGGGGAGCATGCCTTTGGCCGTGTCCTACACCCCGAAGTAGGCTGCCCGGTAGATGATGATGCCTTGCACGGAGACGTTGAAACCCTGGTACATGCCCCGATGCAATCCGACTTGGTGATGTGCACCAGGCAGGGTTCCAGGCCCTTGAACTGGCGCTTGGGGCCTGATTTCCCCTCGTCGGCCGCCAGCCAGTCCGGGCGAAGTCCAGGGGGTAGATGAAGCAGAGGGAGGTGGCGCCCGAGGCCAGGTTGCCCGCGAAGTGCCTCCAGAACTGGGTGTGCTTGTCCTCGCCCCGCTGGAAGACCTGCTTATACTTATCCTTGAAGGCGAAGTTGAGGGCTTGGGTGAGGAAGTAACAGATGACGTTGGCCATGTTGCTCTGCCAGAAGGACAGCACGCCCTGCTCCTTGGGGATGCGCAGGATGCAGTCCATAATGCCCTTGTACTGCTTGTTGGTCGTGATCTGCTGGCTGGCATGTTGCACCTGCAACAGCAGCTTGACCCGCTTCCCTGGTCATGGAGATGGCGGCAGCGATGCCTCCGGCCAGGAAGTCCTTGGTGAAGGAGACGGCCTGTTTCCTCGTGGCAGCGAGGCTGAGCGGAGCAGAGGTGCAGAGAGGAGCCAGGAGAGTGGGCGCTGCTGGCTCTGCGCTGCAGCTGCCCCGGGACCAAAAGGTCGGGAAACTCAGAGATTCTTGAATCACAAAGTGGGAGCATGAACAAATCTCCCATCACTCAGGCCCAGACAAGTGCCTCACGCTGTGGAAGAAAAAGATCATGAACAAACTCAGTTCAGTGGCTGTAAGTAGTGACCTTCTCAACAGCCCACCACAGGCTCACTATGTCCCACAGAATCCCCATCACCCAGTCCTGTCCCTTTTGCCCCAACCCCTGCTATCGTCAGTCTCACCTTCAGAAGCCGTGAGAGATACATCAGAGCCCTGGGCACCATCGCTGCCTGGGGTAGAACAAAACAGGACGGGGTCAGAGCCCCCGGGAAAGGACACTAAGGGAGTAACTATGGGGGTGAGGTCGCCCATAGGCTCCCATTTGCACTGTCACAAGGTCTCAGGGGTCACCCCTCCATACTCACTGGCAGCTTGAGCATGGCTCCCTCCTTTTCCACCTGTGGAAAGAAAACTACCTGTGAGAAGACAGGGAGGAGGCAGGGCCGTGAGCTCCTAAAGGAGCTCCTAGTCCTGGAGCTCACAGAAGTTTCCAGAACTGTGACTACAGACCCAGGGCAGGATCAGGAAACCTGAGGAAACTACATGTGTGGGCACTTGACCAACCATCCTCTCGGAGGTCTGTCCTCAGCAGGGACCTTCCACCCTGACCTGGGAGTGCTGGGAACCAGGCCCCATCACTAGAATCATCAGGTGATGAATCTGTCCCAATTTCCACACGTGTCTGACTAAGAAGTGAGTGTCAGCAAATAGGGCCCCACACTGGGCAACCACACGTGTGGGATGGTACTTGCCATTAATGAAGCAGAACACACTTCTACCTGGGCGTGCAACCCCCAGTGAGACAAGACACTCAGGCCCACTCCTTCCCTACCTGAGCGCTTCCTCCTCTACATCACAACTCCAGGCACCACAGCTCCAAGGATGACCAGGCCCACAACCAGGCCCACAGTGTGGATGATGGCCCAAGGAGACGGCTCTGGGAAGAGAAGGGGAGGTGAGGGCCCTGACCCCCAGGCCTCAGCCCCGACCCCACTGAAGTCCCCCACAGGCCCCTGCTTCCCTGAGAAGAGGCTCTGTGCCCAGGCCCCTCCTCACCCCATCTCAGGGTCAGGGGCTCGGGCAGCCCCTCGTGCTGCACATGGCACGTGTATCTCTGCTCCTCTCCAGGGGGCACCACCAGGGCCGCCCACTTCTGGAAGGTCCCATCCCCCGCAGGCCTGGTCTCCACCAGCTCCATGTCCTGGGTCTGCTCCTCCCCATCACGCTGCCAGCTCAGGCTGATGTCCGCAGGGTAGAAGCCCAGGGCCCAGCACCTCAGGGTGACCTCACGGTCAGAGATGGGGTGGTGGGTCACGTGTGTCTTTGGAGGGTCTGAGGAGAAGGGGGAGGAAATTCAGGGACTTGGCTTTGTCAGGAGACCCTCTAGCAGCTCTCATGTGACCACCTGAGTGTGGACAGGGCACCTGGAGCGGGCGAGGGAGCACACAAGCACCACCAGCCTGGACAGAGCATCTGGGGATGATATCTCCTCCTTAGAAAGTTCTAGTCAGAGTGACACAGCCCAGGGCAGGAGGCAGGTCTCAGGGGGAGAAAGGGATTTCTGGTCCTGTCCTGGGTGGAGGCCAAAGGACTCAGAAAAGTTGGTGTCAGACCTCAGATACACTGGGTGAGGGGCAGGGAGCAGGGCCTGAGAGAGCACGTCCCCATGGGTCCCAGAGCCCCTGAAGGGTCAATGGGAACCGCTGCTCAGTTCCTTCAGGCTTGGTCTCCCCTCTAATTGTCCCTGAGAGACTGCACCCCTAGGCGTCCCTGAGAGAAGGGCGGGCGTCACTGGATCTGAAAAGCCAGGCGGACTCAATCTCCTGGCCCACAGGTGGGGGGTCTGACACTGATCCTGTGTCCTGTCTCCTTGTTGAGCCCCAGTCGCTGGTCTCGGTCCTGCCCATTGAAGGGGACACAGGCGTAGAAGCCACCATCTTCCACAGCCTCTCGCTGATGATCAGAGAACCATCAGGCTACTGCTGGTGTCTGGGGAACCAAGCAGAGTCACGGGGCAGGCAGGGGGGCTCCAGCCCATGCAGATGGAGATTGGTGAGGGGGTCTTTTCCTGATGAGAGTGGGTCTGACAGGGCCAGTGGGCAACCAGCTGCCAGCATGCTCATTTACTTGAAGGTGAGGGAGGCCCCAGGCCCCAGGCCCCTGGTACCTGTGCGCTGCAGCGCCTCCTTCCCCATCTCCAGGAATCTCCTGAGCCACTCCATGCACTCCTCCTCCAGGTAGTGTCTCCTTTCCTCAGCCTCACCAGTTTCCTCCCACTTGCGCCGGGTGATCTGAGCTGCGGTGTCCGCCGCGGTCCAGGAGCGCAGGTCCTCGTTCAGGGCGATGTAGTCGGTGCCATCATAAGCATACTGGTGGTACCCGCGGAGGAGGCGGCCGTCCGGTCCCATGTCACAGCCCAACAGCAACTGGAGCGTGTGAGACCCTGACCCGTCCCGAGGTCAGTCCTGTCCCCTGACCCCACCCTGCTTCCCACTACCAGGAATTGAACCCAAACTGAAAGTAAAACCGGGTCCAAATCCCCGCGGGCTCCTCCGGGGTGGGAGCTGCACAGGGCCCACAACCTCGGGGTGAAGCTCGGACCCCGACACTCGGGGCGACCCCAGCCCGTCCGAGGGGATGGGGGTGGTGACCGGCCCCGGGCCCCGTGGCTCACCGTCCTCGCTGTGGTTGTAGTAGCCGCGCAGGATCAGCAGGTTCCTTCGGAAAGTGTGTGCGGAGTCCCTGGCGTTCCAGGTGCTCAGGTCCCAGTAGCCCGGCTCCTCCTGCTCCATCCACGGCGCCCGCGGCTCCGCCCTCTGACTCTCGGAGTCGCTGTCGAACCGCTCGAACTGCGTGTCGTCCACGTAGCCCACGATGATGAAGCGGGGACTTAGCTGGTACGGCCGGGACACCGCGGTGTAGAAATACCTCAGGGAGTGGGGGCCTGGGGGGCCGGGAAAGGGGGTCAGGACGGTGGGGTGGGGGTGGGGTGGTGGAGACGCCCTACCCGGGGTTCCGTGCTCCCCGCCGGGTCCCCTCGCTCCTCCTCCCCGCAGAGGACGGTCCCTCCGGACCCCGCACTCACCGGCCCAGGTCTGGGTCAGGGCCAGGGCCCCCCAGAGCAGCAGGAGAGTTGGGGGCCTCATGACCCGCATCTTCCGGGTGTAAGGAGTCTGAGTCCAGCAGACTTGCTAGGAGACTGTGTTGTGCAGTGACCCTAATTGGCTTCTGTCTCACCTGACACCCAATGGGTGTGAGAACTGGGGCAACGTCACTAGGAAGGAGTGCCCCACACAGGCTGTGAGAGGGAGAAATGAAACTGCGGGGAGGTGGGGACTCCCCAACACTGAGTTTCCCGCTTCAGTCTCCGCCCTCGCGCTGTACCCTGAGACCAGGCCTGGGACCTGGGACCTTGCCCTGACCCCTCCCCTGCACGGAGAGCTCTGTCACACCCTCTCCCTCAGTCCTGCCCAGGGGCTGTGTGAGAACCAGGGAGACTCCCCAGGCTGGGACCAGCCCTTTCCTCCCCTTCTCCTCCTGGAACCCCTCTCCCTGGAATGCTCTCTGCCTCCCACCCTCACCTCTGCCCTGGACTCTTCTAGAGGAAAACTCACCCTGGGACCTTGATGCCAGAGAGCGAGCTCCCTGTGAGAGGAGGCGGAGGACAGGGCCTCCTCTGTAATCCTGGAGAAGCTGGGCCTGAAAAGACCAGTGAAGGGCAAGGGGACCACAGTCTTGGGAAGCCTGGACATCAGGAAGCTAATCTGTAAAATGAGTGATTTCAGAGGCTTCATATGCAAAGTGTCTAAACAGCCCTGCAGCCAGAGTTATAAAGCTCCTCAACTCTCCTTCCCACACAGGAAGTGTGTGACTGGGGCTGTTACATTGTGAAGTGACCTGCATTCCCCAGCCCTGAGCTTGTCCCTGTGAGTCCCCCACACCCTCCCTACAAAGGAGCCCAGGGATCCTGTTTGACTGCATTTCAGCAGGAGCCTGTGCATCCTCACAGTCGCAGGTGCTCAGTGGGTCAAAGTGCCCTTCACCAGCGCTCCTGCCCCGCCCATCCTTATGAATTACTCACATGGAAGCAGTGAGCACATTTTATCGGGACACATTATTTTTTAAACTGGTTAACATAAGGTGGCAATTACTTTTTAGGCAGCCCCACAGAATGTATTAAGTAACAATGGCAAGGAACATGCTGCTAGCTCTGTAGGTATATTTACTATAGATCTATAAAGCAGATTTAAATCTGAGAGTTTCACTGTTTTAGAATATCTACCTCCACTTCTTTTCCTCACCCCTGCTTCTCCAGCCCTTCTCTAACTCTCATCCCTCAGGCCTCTTCACCCCTTTGTCTCTATCACCCTCCCACCCTAGACTGTGGCATTAGCAGCACCTCCTCACCTGCCACCCAGGGACTATTCCCCCCACAGGGTCAGCAATCCTGCTAATGTGAGTCAGGTTGTGTCATTTCCTCTCTAAAAATGCACCAGTGACTCAGTCTCATTCTGGGAAGCCTCTAACAAGTAAGACACAGAAGCACAAGGGCTTTGGGCTGTTCAGGTCAAAGTTGTCTCCCAGCACATGAAGCTGCTTCTGGTACATAGTAGACATTAAATTAATTGTTGTTGAATGAATGAATGAATGTCAATTGTATTACATTTTTAATTGTATTAAATAAAATCATAAAAAATACAAAAATGTTAGCAAAGATTTTAGTACACATACATGTAATACTGCTGTGCATATCAGTTCATAAATTTATTCTGAGGGAAAAATGCTGTGTGCTTCTCTGTGGCAGAGTTGAGCCTGTGTATTATATAAATGCTGTGTCACATATAAACACAACTATATAAACATCACCACAGACTCGTGGCTCAAAACAGCCCTCATTTATTTGCTAACATTACCTTAATGGTAAATGCAGGTGTGGTGTGGATGGGTTCTCTGATCAGAGTCACAAAGCTTTGCCCTCATCCTGAGCTCAGACCCTTGTCTAAGCTTATATACAGACTAGTAGCTGAGCTAGTAGCTTGCCAGTAGCTCACTGCCTGGCCCTCGCACCCCCTACCCCATGCCCCCCCACATAGCTTGCTGCCCTGCCCCCTCCTGTAGCTCTCCACTTCCCACTTGCAGCTAGCTGCCGCACCCTCCTGCTGATCCTTGATCCAGTGGTTATGATGTCGGTTGGTCCGTCGGTCGTTATGCTTCACGGGCAGGTGTAATGACCATTTGCATATTACATCTTTATTATATAGGATTGTCAGCAGAATTCAGTTTCTTCAGTTGTGGGTCTGAGGTCCCTGTTTCCTTGACAACTGTCAGGGAGGAGGAGCCTGGGGAGGGCTGCTCCCAACACGTGGTGGCACCAGCAGTCTTTACCATGTGGCCCTTTGTTTTCAAAGCCCCCAGTGGGGAAGATGGCTCACATTGAAGTCCTCTCACACTTGGGATCTCCTTTGATCAGGAGGAACCCCAATCAGCTCTCATCTCATTGGGACAATGCCATCCAGGGCAGTCTAAAGGTCAACTGATTTGAGACCTACTTCCATCTGCAAAATCTCTTCCCAGCAGCCCTAGGTTAGTGTTTGGTTGAATGACTGGGGAAGATGAATAACCAGGTTGGTTACTGGGAACCATCAGAGCACGAACTGTCCTTCCGCTAGTGTTTATTGGTTATGGTTGGAAATGGAAGTGCAAATAAATAGATTGTTGTCAATGGTAATAAAATGCATCCTGCCTATTAGCCATGGAAATTCTCCTCCTCCTCCTCCTCCTCCTCCTCCTCCTCCTCCTCCTCCTCTTCCTCCTCTTCCTCCTCCTGTTCCTCCTCCTTCTCCTCTTTCTCCTCCTTTTCCTCCTTCTCAGGCTCCCTCTCCCACTCTCTCCTGCTCCTTCTTCTTCTGTTTCTTCTTTTTTCTTACCCACGTAAATTCTTACATCTTAAAAGGAAATTATATGTTTATATATCTTATAATCATTTCCCAACAAATGAAAATTAAAGTGCAATCATTCATTCTCCCTTTGGAATCTGTTTTAGTCATGTATTGCAGCATAACAAATTACTTAACACTAAATATTGTTTAGGATTTTGCAAGTCAATGCTTCCTTTACCTGATTATTTTCTTCAATACTTTAAATTACACGTTGGAAAGAATGGTTAAATGAGACAGAGTAAGAAGGAACAATAATATTTGTAAGTCGTTTTTAGAGAGACCTTTAGAGGTAATGTTCCCTATAGTAAGTGACAGCACAGTTGAGAACACACAGTAGCTAGATCAAAGAGTTTAAAGACTGGGCATCTCAAATAGGGGATTCCTGTTCGTGTTGAATTGGTGCCATCAAATAACAGTTGACACTCACAGATGTAATCTCTATCCCATCCCCCAGATGTAACCTCTATCCTGAGTCCTATGCTTCTTATACTCTTGAGAATCTCTAAAGATTTTCAATAAGTGTGTACTTATCTTCAAACCGAATGTTATTTCGTTTTGCCAGTTTTTAAATTTCCTGTACAGAGGACTGGTACTGCATGGACACACTGAGACCCAGCATTACCTAAGACAGTCATCTCTCACCTGTGAGGCTGTGCTTACACTTTCAGTGCTGAAGTCTTACATTTTATAGTGAAATTTTGCTATTTTCCTATTGATGAATATGTGGCTATTCCAGTTTGGCTGTAACCAAGAGTGTATATGTCTCCTGGGGCACAAGGCAAGAATTTCCCCAGAGCAGGTGGGCAGGGGTGGGGATGCTGGGCCCTGTGAGGCCTGTATGGTAACCAGACTCCATGACGCTCAGGTGATTTCCAAAGTGCTCCTGGCACACTGTCATTTCTGATGTGGACAGCGTGGCACAGTGTTAGAGGTTTCTCTTTGTCCTTCAGCACAATTACAGCCCTTACTCCACAGACAGGAACCCAATGTGAAGGTCACACCAAGGACCACCTATGCTGATGCCGATTCTGTATGTGGAAAGTGGGACCGTAACCCTGGGACTCATCCATGGAGCCAGCAGTCACACTGGGAGCTTGCATCTGTAAACCCCGCTGTCATAATGGCAATGGTGATGCTGTGAGAATCGGGTGTCAATGCCAAGTCTAACCCAATGTGCAATACTCAGTTTTGGCCATTTCTCTCCCTGGTGGAGAGTCACTGGAGTAAGGGCTGCATGTTCCCGTGCAGAAGGGTTGAGGGGATTGTCCCAGCACTTACCACGGCTTCTCAGGGCCGACCTCCTAGGGCAGGGGTGGGCAACCTTTTTGTGAGTGCGTGCCAAAAACCAGCAAAATCTCTGACTCAAAATTCTTCTGCATGCCAACCCTAATTTTTTGAGAACATGTTACGCCTACTTGTTATCTCTTAAGGTGTACATATGTGAAGAACCTTGAAGAAATAATAAAATTCATTCGAGCGACAAAAACACAGTATATGATGATGAAAAATACATTTATTTTTAAATGTATACATGTACACTGATAGTCTGACAGAAAACTTTATGACTCCGTTTGATATTATCAGTGGGACTTTTGCTGCTGCACCACTGATGACAGAGATTTTACATCAGGTTTATATTTTGTGACCTTCAGAGATATGCACGAGCTACTACTTTCATCCATCAGGCTACTCCTATTACGAGACTTAATAAAATTCATCACTGAGAACAAAGATTCACAATTGTAAATGGAAGATTATAAGAGAGGGTTTCCCATGCCAGCAAAAGTTACTGGCGTGCCATGTTTGGCACGCGTGCCAGGAGCTGCCCACCCCTGTCCTAGGGATTTGGACACCTCTTCAGCCAAAAGAGTCTCATTTGAACATTGGCTGAGGCTTGGGTACTCAGCAAGGGACCCTGGCTTTTTATTGGGCCAAACACCCTCAGCCTCCTGCCCCTAATTCTTGCCCTGTTATCTACAGTAAGCACCATTCTTGTGGACTACCCTCCGCCATGGTCTGAATTCATATGTTTAAATCCTAACCCCCACGGTGCTAATATTAGGAGGCGGGGCCTTTGGGAGGCTGGAGCCCTCATGAATGGGATTAGTGCTCTCATAAGAGAGAGAACCCCTCCCACCTTCCGCCACCTGATGTCACAGCTAGAAGGTACCATCTGTGAGAAAACAGGCTTTCCCCAGATCCCGATTCTGCCAGGGCCTTGATCTTGATCCCAACCTCCAGAACTGTGAGAAATAGACTTTTGTCGTGTATAAGCCACCCAGTTATGATATTTGTTGTAGCAGCCAATACGCACTAAGACGCAGTCTGTTCTGACCCAAGCGTCCCTCTGCATCAGC